AAGGGCTGAGCCAGGGCTTTGAAGGAGGTTTCCCATTCTTCTCGGTCCTTCTTCTCAGGTAGGACACTCAAGTCTCTGCTCTCGGCTGTAGAAGACACAAAGGAATACGTGAGCTTTTCCCCTGTAGACCCCGGGATCTTCCCCAGAGCTTTGTTGGGTTCCTTGAGAGCGAGGAGTAAGATGAGGTAGGAAGGAGGAACCGAGAGGAACCGAGAGCAGAAGGGATGACGCGGATGCCTCCATGGAGCCAACTATCTCCCAACCTTCTCCTGCCCTCAAGCTGGTCTGGCCTGAAGCGATTTAGATGAGCTCCCTGCCCTCGTGGTCCTCCTTCCCACACGTTTCCCAGGTTGTCCCGGGAAGGAGGAACCAATGACACCACCGTGAGCCCACCGGTGACCTCCCCGAGCTCCCAAGCATCCCTCTACCTGCTGGGGCGTCGTTGCTCAGGTGCTGTAGGAAGAGATGGACGGTCAACATGGCATCTTCCGTGTTCTTGCTGAGCGCTTCTGCCAGGCACGCCACGTCCTTCTGAAGGTGGCCCCAGAAGAACTCTTCCACCTCCGCCGGTTCCTCTTTCATCAGGTCGAGAACCGCCTGCGGGAGAGGGCAGGTTCCTCCGTTAGGTCGGCGAGAAGGTCTCCTCCCCACCGAGGCCCCAGAGGCGCCTCACGGAGGGGGGGCAGTGGGCGCTCACCCGTTTGTCGGTACGGAGGCCCACCAGGAGTGCGGAATGGAGCAGAGCTCTGGCAAGAGCCACACAGGCGGGCGACAGACACCTCTCCAGCTCGTTCCTCCGCGAGAGAGGACTCTCCAGGATGTACCCTCGCTCCGTTTTATCCTCGGTGCTGCGTTCAAGGGAAGAGCAACCACCCCACCGCGCCTTTCACCACCGTCCACCACGGACGGGGAGACCTTCGCTTCGGCCCCACCGCGGCGTTTCCCCCCGTGGCCACGGCTCCAGGGGAGGGTTGGGTGGAGGGTTGAAGGCCTCCAGGGCTGCAGAGCTGGGAGGAGGGGTTGACTTACATTTGCTTCAGGGTGAAACCCGCCCTGGCTTTGTGGTTGGTTCCCCCGACGGCGGCACCGCACTTGCACTTCTTCACTTCCATGGGAAGCCCACACTGCAGGTTGGACAAGCGAGGGTGGAGTGAGCGAGAAGGTCTGGAAGCCCAACGGGGCGCCAGAGGTGATCTCGCGAATGCTGAGGGCACCCAGGGGGTCTCCGACGCCCTCCTGGAGTTTGGCTTTCTACACGGGGTGATGGCAACAAACAGCTGAGGGGACGCGTGTCTAGGAGCAAACATCTCCAGGCCAACCAGGTTCTTCCTACAGTCAGCAGGATGCGTCTAGGCATCCAGATGGGGATGAGACTAACCAAGACCTGGAAGCACTTGCTTCACTCCACTGCTTCCATGGGGAAACCCAAATCTGGGAGAAGAACCCAACTGGCTTGGAGAAGAACCCAACTGACATGGAAAAGAACCCAACTGACTTGGAGAAGAACCCAACTGGCTTGGAGAAGCCAACCGGCTTGGAGAAGAACCCAACTGACATGGAAAAGAACCCAACTGACTTGGAGAAGAACCCAACTGGCCTGGAGAAGAACCCAACTGGCCTGGAGAAGAACCCAACTGGTTTGGAGAAGAACCCAACTGACACGGAAAAGAACCCAGCTGGCTTGGAGAACCTAACCGGCATGGAGAACAAATCAACTGGCTTGGAGAAGAACCTGACCAGCTTGGAGAAGAGCGCACCTGGCTTGGAGAAAAGCCCAGCTCTTGCAGCTAAAGGACCGCTTGACACAGGAGGTGACATTGGAGTCCACATCAGGAGGGGAGCAGAGCAGCAGGAGGAGCATCTACAGAGGCCACTCAGTAGAAACAGCCAGGCCAAGAGATGTTTCAAGATGGTGCGAAGGAGCCAGAAGAAGACCTGAGAAGCTCATGCCAAGCCCGGCTTTTTGCCGTGGAGGTGACAGAGATGCAACGAGAAGCGCAAGAGAAGACAGAGCTGCAAAGACCACCAGCCAGGAGGAGACACTTACGTTGGTGATAACCCAGAAGGCGCCGCACTGACAAGCTACGTGCGAAAGAGGACACGGTTAGTCATCTTCCACCACGACCTCCATGATGGGGACGCGGCCAGACACTCCCCTCGAGGGTGACAGGCACAAGTCCCACCTCCTCCCGCCATCCAGCCCCACCACGTGCCTCCCCCCAGCGCTTGTCAAAGAGGGACCCAGAGTTGCTCCACGCAGGTGGAGATCATGAAGGACTCAGCAGGAGGATGGAGATGGCCTTCAGGAGTCTTTAAGCCCTTCCCTCCAGCCTCGGTCACCTCCTGGTGGGTCCCCTACAGGTGCCCAGGAGTAGGGAGGTTCCCCCAAAACTTACTCCACATCTTATCCGTCAGACCGATTTTCCAGTTCTTCTCATCAAAGAGCAGGTCTCCAGGCATGGTGGGAAGGTAGGACCCCTTGGAAAGGAAAGGTGATACAACGTGTGGGGTGGGGGTAACCACCCACCCAACTCGCTGCCCACCTATCTGAGGAACCCATTCTTCTTCTAAAGCAAAGCAAAGTGGGGGAGGGAAGGTCCTCCTGCCCGGCCACTGTCATCGGGGAGAACCTTCTGGTGAGGGAATGGGGCCCAAGCGAGGGGGGAGGTCCATCGGACAGGGAGACGTGAGGGTGGAGGGACCGGAGGTGAGCAAAGTCCCTGAGAGAGCCCCAATGATTTATGAGTTTCGATTCTGGAAACTGAATAGACCACACGGGCCAAACGTGGTCTCCACGGGAAGGGGGAGAAGATCCAGAGGTGGCCATTGCCTTCACTCCCGCGAAAAGCAGTGTGAGTTCCTGGTCGCTTCCTGCAGCCCTCAAAGAACGGGAAGAACTTCAGGCAGGGCCAGACCCGAGGGGAAGGCCAGTGTCTCCATCACCATCTGAGCGATGGAAGACCTTTGGCAGGAGGAGGACGCTCGAGTTGGGCTTCAAACCACCTGATCTCCACCCACGAAGCTCTCCAAGGCCCCCCAGCTCCGCCTGAGCCAGCAGAGGGATGGGCCTCGCCCGTAGACCGTACATCCATCTCCTCCACCTTTGAAGTAGACCAGGATGGACGGTCGCAGTGACTTCTCGGCCCAAGGAATGAGAAGGAAGAGGAAAGACGAAGGAAGAGGCACCATGAAGGAAGAGGCACAAAGAAGGAAGAGGAAGAATGAAGGAAGAGGAAAAATGAAGGAAGAGGAACAACAAAGGAAGAGGAAGAACAAAGGAAGAGGAAGAACGAAGGAAGAGGAAGAACGAAGGAAGAGGAAGAATGAAGGAAGAGGATCAACAAAAGAAGAGTAACAACAAAGGAAGAGGAAGAACAAAGGAAGAGGCACAACGAAGGAAGAAGCACAATGAAGGAAGAGGAAAACAAAGGAAGCGGAAGAACAAAGCAAGAGGAAGAATGAAGGAAGAGGAAGAATGAAGGAAGAGGAAGAACGAAGGAAGAGGTAAAATGAAGGAAGAGGAAGAACGAAGGAAGAGGACGAACGCATCTGCCAGGACGTGTCGCAGGAGGCCAGTGGGGTGGAGAGCGCTGCGCGCCTCGGCCTTTGCGACTCACCTTCACCACGTCGGGCTTGAAGCAGATGTTCCTGAGGAGGTGAGTGATGTGGTTGGGGGACAAGGCCAGCGTGAGCACAGTGTGGAAGACCACCTCCAGCAGGCCGGGGTCTTCAGCGTCCCCCAAAGCATCCATGATCTTCTTCAGTTTGTCTTCCAGCGCCTCATTTGGGACGGGCGGCAACTGGAGGATGTTCTCCATTTGTCTCATGGCAGACTACAGAAGTTGCAGAAAGCAGACGTAAGAGAAGGCAACGGGCGTGGCACCACCCCGGGAGGAGCCGTCGGGCTTCACCGCTGAGGTTCAGCGTCCACACTAAGTCCCGTTTGTGTCCCCCGGCAGCAGGAAGCTGCCACAGCTCTCCATCAACACAGATGGAAACCTCCTGTCGCCAAGAGGTTCCAGATGAACCAACAGTTCCAGAACAACCAACAGTTCCAGATCAACCACAGTTCCAGATCAAACAGTGGTTCCAGATCAACCAATGCTTCCAAGAACAACCAATGCTTCCAGGTCAACCAACGGTTCCACACCAACCAACGGTTCCACACCAACCACCAGTTCCAGATCAACCCACAGTTCCAGATCAACCACCAGTTCCAGATCAACCCACAGTTCCACACCAACCACCAGTTCCAGATCAACCAATGGTTCCAGAACAAACACAGTTCCAGATCAAACAGTGGTTCCCAATCAACCAATGCTTCCAGACCAACCAACAGTTCCACATCAACCACCAGTTCCAGATCAACCACCAGTTTCAGACCAACCACCAGTTCCAGACCAACCAACGGTTCCAGATCAACCAACAGTTCCACACCAACCAACAGTTCCAGATCAACCACCAGTTCCAGATCAACCAATGCTTCCACATCAGCCACCAGTTCCAGACCAACCAACAGTTCCACACCAACCACCAGTTCCAGATCAACCAATGGTTCCAGGTCAACCAATGGTTCCACACCAACCAACAGTTCCACACCACCAACCAATGGTTCCAGATCAACCAATGGTTCCAGATCAACCAATGGTTCCAGGTCGACCACCAGTTCCAGACCAACCAACAGTTTCAGATCAACCATGGCTCCAGATCAACCAATGGTTCCAGACCAGCCACCAGTTCCAGACCAACCAATGGCTCCAGACCAACCAACGGTTCCAGACCAACCCCCATGGAAACCTCCTGTTGGAGACATGATGGATACTCACAGTCAAGTTCTGATTTTCCGTGGAATCTTTGGTTTTTAGCTGGTTTTGGGCTTTGTCCAGCGCCGAAAACATCAGGGCCGTATTGGACCAGGCGCTTCGATCCTGAAAAACACAGATGGACGTTGTCATCCCAAGGACCAAGTGGGAGGACAGGAAGAAGAGGTTGTCTACACCCTACGAGGGCCTGTTGTGCTCCTCAACTGGAAGAGAGTCAATCTTAGAGGGTTTGAGCTCAACAAATCAACCCCCTCAGCTCTGCGAAGGCTCTGGAGAAACAACTCACCTGCGACATTTCTACCCCCTGGGGCAAAATCCACTTCTCCACCTGGAGGATCTTGTGCATCGAGGTGAGCCCGTAGATGTCACAGAGGTTCCTGATGAGGAACAACTGCGGCCACGGTGTCGACACCTTCGCCACCAGCTGCTTCATCGCGTTCACCAGGTCTTCCGCTTTCTCCGTCCCCTCAGCAGCTTGCGCGTTGGGATCTGGGAAGGAAGTTTCTCGGTAAAGCCCAGTCCCTGGTGGTGGCACGGCACACGTGTCCTTCACCACCGCAGCCCCCACAGCTGGTTTAGGTGGCAGGAGGATGGAGGTGGCAGGAGGATCTTCTCCCCCACAGGTGGGACGGCGGCTTCAAGCCAACGTAGAGAGGGCACCTTCATACGTCGGGAAATACTTGGAGAAAACAGCGAGTTTTGGGGATGGAAGAGCTGAAAAGTTTGTCCCAAACAACCTCAATTTTCACAAAAACAGCCATTTTCCGGCAAAAACCTCCAAGGATAGATATTTTGGGGGGGGGTGGAAGCTCGTTCTAGACCTGCTTTAGGAGTCGGTGGGTTTCCTCCTGCTACGCTAAGGAAAAGGACTCACCGGCAAGCGTTTGTCTGCCCAAGACGGTGGCCACGTGGCTGATGGAGAGCCGGAGTTGGGCGATGAACTGGAGGGTGTTGATTCGTGAGACCTCGGGCTTGTCGAAGGCGGAAAGGTCGGCAGTGGAGAGGCAGTTTTCCGCCAGTTGGCTGATGTCTTCTTCAGCCGAAGGATACATAAAATCCTGCTCGAGAGAGGGGGAAAGAGACGATTTTTAAGAGCCTGAAGGTGGGTCTTCTCCTCGGCTTTGAGGTGAGCTCCTCCTTTGGCTCCTCATCCATAACAAGATGCGGAAGGGGGGATAATTAGTGCGATTAACACGTTTTAGCCGGGGTGGAAGCTCCAAGTTCCGGTGATTCCCAGCGCATCCTCGACGGGAGCTCACCTCCAGACAGTGCACCACCATGAAGTAGAAATGGTCCATGTTGCTTTGGTTGGACATGATCTTCTCCTCCATCTGGGACAGGTATTCCTCCAGGTGAACCTTGACGTTGTTGAACCTAGGGGAGAAAAGGAGGAAGGGCGTCACCAACCCGCGGAGGTTTCAACCCAACTGGGGATGGGTTTCAGGAGCAACATTGGGGCTGACCCGCATCGCAGCAGCAGCTTCAGGAGGGAGGACTGGACGGTGGGACTGGTGTCCATGCACTCTTCGAAGGGCGACAACTCGCTTTTCGGCTTGTACACTAGGAGGGAAGGGTGACACGAGTTAGTGGACTTCCAAGAACGCGAGGACAGAGGTGGAGGGGGTGTGGAATTGAGGTCTTTTACCTCTTTTCCCTGTCTGATGCTCAGGGTTGGGTTTGCAGGCCACAAACTGGATCAGCCGCTGGATGATTTCGGCGGACGGGGGCTCTCTGTCTCCCAAAAAGTACAAGGTGAGGAACTCAACGAAGAAGGAGTTGCATTTCCTCCTGAATTTGTTGTGACAGGCGACGGCTTCCCTGGAGGGAAGGGAGAAGAAAACCGAGAGTGGTGGTCAACCTCCGCCCGAGGAAAGGAATGACGTCCCTCTCTCTGCAGAAAACGGGACCCCAACCAGATACGGACGTTTGGTCAGAGTCATGGAACGGTTTGGGCTGGAAGGGACCTTGAAGATCATCCAGTTCCAACCTCCTGCCCTGGGCAGGGACACCTCCCACCAGCCCAGGTTGCTCCAAGCCTCGTCCAACCTGGCCTTGAACACCTCCAGGGATGGGGCAGCCACAGCTTCTCGGGCCAACCCATTCCAGCATCTCACCACCCTCAGAGTGAAGAATTTCCTCCTGATACCCCATCTAAATTTCCCCTCTTCCAGTTTGAAACCATCACCCCATGTCCCATCACTCCATGCCCTTGGGAAAAGTCCCTCCCCAGCTCTCCTGGAGCCCCTTTAGGCACTGGAAGGGGCTCTCAGGTCCCCCCAGAGCTTTCTCTTCCCCCACCCCTCCCAGCCTGTCCTCCCAGCAGAGGTTCTCCAGCCCTCGCAGCATCTTCCAACCCAATATTGAACACGAAGACACCTGAGCGGGGCAGGTTTTTGCCAGCACCGCGATACCTGGTGGCTTCCGAAGCGGTGGGCGTGTAATCCTCCGGGAATTCCTCCTTGCAGATCTTACACTGCTTGTTCGTCCACTCCAGGATGCAGCGTGTGCAGAAGATGTGGCTGCAGGGCAGCTCGGCCGGGTCGGTGATCTCCCGGAGGCAGCTCTTGCACTCCTTCACACCTTTCCTGAGGGACACCCCACCGAAGGAGAAAGGAGGCAGCTCAGCGCCGAGGAGGCGGGGAGAGCGCCGGTCGGCTCCTGCCTAACGTACTGCCCTGAGGTGGCCACCAAGATTTCACCGAGCCACCCCGGTGAAGGTGACCCACCACCGGTTGAAGAACCAGCAGCTTCTAAGCTGCCTGAGGACCACCCCATCTTGGAGAGGCGCCGATCCGTGGTGAGGACGGTTGGGTGAAGGGGAGCCCCGGTGCTCAGGGGAGCCGGTTTCTTTGGAGCCACAACCAGAAGAAGTTCCTCCAGAGGTGTTTCGTCACCTCCAAGAGGGGCTCTCACCCCTCGGTGTCCTCAGTGTGGCCTCCCTGTGTCTCCCTCACCCTTTACAAACCTCACAGCAACGGAGAAGGACCCTCAAGTCAACTTTTTTCCCCAGCTGGGACTTACACCAGGTACACGACGTCAGCATTCTCGTTGCATTTCTTCAGCACTTTGGTCACCAAATCAAAGGTCTTCTCCGGCTCAAATCCCGGCGTCGCATAGAGGCGCTGCAAAAGACAAAGAGGCGGCGCAAGTTCACGAGGAAAAAAAAACATCTCCTGGAAGAGAAGAACCCTCCCAACCTTCACGGCTGTAAGCTGCCCCGGGGAACACCTACGTTCCAGAGGAAGATGAACTGCTTCACCACAAGCTTCAGGAGTTTCTCTTCTATTTGGGTCTCGTTGTGCAGCAGGTGGTCAATCAACATGTAGACAATGTTGGTGCAGGTCCAGCGATGTCTGTAGAACACACGTCCCGACCGTCAGGTTGGGCCACAGCCCTCCCGAGGTCTCTTCCCACCCGTATTCCCCCTCATCCCAGGTAGCACGCGGTCACTGAGGACACGAGACCTCCCTGAGATGACGTTAGAGCGAGAAAGAGATGGGACGGTCCCATCTACACCGCTCGTTTCAACCAACCTCAGGCCAAACCGCAACTGCCGACCCATTTCTGGGTGTCACCGCTGGAGACGCCAACTTATCCCACCCCAGAAAGCATCGAGCCGGCAAGGAGAAATTCCACCACAACTAAGCAACTCGATCGTGGTGAAACATCTACCGATTTTGGGGGTTTCAGAGCAACTTTGCCACCGTGTTTGTGCTAACGAGGAAGGACCGGGAGGGAGTGGACAGTTGGAGGACCTGGTGACTCCGGCACCTCAAGAAGAAGGTGGCTTCAGCTCACCCCGCCCTTCAGACATCAAGAAGTTTGCGCTACCGTCAACAGAGGGTGACAGAACTCACAAGACGCTCTCCAGGAGCTGCTTCTTCTTCTGGTAGAACTGCAGCTGGTAGTTGTCCACACTGATCCACTCCACCCAGGGCTTAATGGACTTGACGCTTTTGAGCCACGCGACGCAGGCATCGAAGGGCAAAAGTCCGTTTTCGGAGGGCTGCACTTTCTCCAGGAGAAGGTTCAAGGCGTCGAGAGTGACAAACTGAAAGGGCGTTGGCAAAAGAGAAAGGAAAAGAGTCCAGTTAAAGAACCGACCTCACCGGTGGGTGGCACAGAGGGAAGGGATGTCCCAGGAGTAGGCGCTGGCGTAGCTTTTGGAGGAGTTGACGGGGCCAAGTTCAAAAGGAAGGGAGTTTTACGAGTGAAGTTCTGGCGCCTGTAAAGCAGGAACCTAACGGCACCTCGGAGGAAGAAGGACTCTCGGAGTGGCGGTGGGGAGTTCTCTAAAGTCCTCCGTTTGCTGCTCCGAGGCACGAGCATCGTCGGAGGGATGAGGCCATCTCCACGTGGAGGTGGCCACCTAAGGAGCTCACCACTGAAACGCGACACAACGAATCCCCCCCACACCTCTCGGGTCTACGGGAGCTTCACCGTGAACACCCAGAGCAACACAAGCAGAAGGATGTCTCACTAATTACAGAGCAGGTCATTAACCGGTGGGACTTGCAAAGACCACCATGCTCAAAGGCAGCAGAGGAAGGGTTTGAGGGCCAACGCAACTCTTCGCTCACCATTTCTGGGGGGTTCTTCTCATACTTTGCCTGCAGCTCGCCCACGACGGCGTCGTTGCTCTTGGCGATGTCAACAAAGAGCTGATAATCATCTCGGAGGTAGAAATATTCCATGTGAAGCCATATGGGGGAGAATTTCATCTCCTTTCCGCCCACGGCGGAGCAGAGTTGCTCCGCGCTGGCCAGGAAGACTTTGGTGAGAAGCTGCAAAGGGGAAAGCAAAGGCGTCATTTCCGCTCGAAGCGAAGGGCGAGGGGACCACGGCGGGGACGCCCGGTGTCGCTGCGCCATCCCGCGTGAAGCTTCCCCATCCAAAATCGATCCGGAAAGTGGAATTAAGACCCAACGTTCGCCACGGTTGAGGAGGAGGCACGGAGCAAACAGAAGGGAGGAGTTCTGAGGAACATCAGATCCGGCCGGGGAAGGATAGGACTAAGGCCAAAGCAGCGTTGGAGGTGGTGCTCTACCCACCTCGTAGACGGAGACATCTTGGCCAGGAAAAGCCATGCGGAGAAAGTCATTGGTGTAACGGCGGAGCACGTCTCTGTCGCTGCAGACCGGCATCAAGGCATCCTTGATGAAGGTTTGGTAGAACTTGGCCACTTCCTTCGTCGGCATCTGGGGTTGATCTAAGAAGGGAGAGGGAAAGAAAGTTACGGCGGCTGAGCGGGAAATGGGAGCGCCTCGTTAAAGGCGGAGGCGGACGTGTGGCCGAGCACTGGGCCGCGGGTGACGAGGCACAACGCCGCTGTCGGAAGAGGAGATGCATCGCAGAAGAGATGCACAGCGCGGTTCCGGGTCACTCGAGCGAGGAACGCAACCTCCACCGTTCCTCCTACCCGGGAGATGGATTTTTGGGGGGGGCTTTGCTGGGTTTAAAGTTGCCCCTGGAAAGTCTGATGTTACCTTTCATGTGATAGACCTCCCACACGTCATCCAGGTAGGCTTTCAAAACCCAACTGAAGGGGAACTGGCAGAAGAGGGAGGTGTTGGGGTCTTCGGTCATCGATAACACGGGGATCTTCGCGTCTGCCACCCTGGAGTTCAAACGGAGCGGGAAGAAGCGTTAAATCGCGCAACAGACAGTGGGTCTCCCGAGACGGACCACCTCAGAGGAGGTCCCCGCTCCCACCAACCTGCGTCCTCCTTTTATAAAGGCGAGAAATTTGGTAGGAAAGAGGGACCAGAGCAAGGAAGGAGCCGATTTTGCTCAAAACAGCTCAAAACAGCAACGGGGAAGTTTTGGTGGCAGCAAGTTGACCCACCCAAGACCTTCCCCGGCCAGGTTATGAACATCTGCACCTCGAGCATGAGCTGGGCTTCCACTACGAACCCCGGGCCGAAGGAAAACCACCGTACGGGGCGTTCACACCCCTCCTCTTACTTCCTGGTGTATTTAATTTTGAGGAACGTTTCTTCTTGGAACATCCGGAGCCAGAGTTCCGCCAGCGGAGAGCCTTGAGAGATGTGATCCAGGTTGTTGTTGGCGTCCACCACGGCGAGAATTTGGGCGAAGACGTTCGCCACGATGTCATCCAGGTGCCCCCAGAGCGCCTGCCTGAAAAAGGAGACGGCACGGCTCGCAGCGGCGCCTCCCTGCCCCCCACCGAGAAACCTTCCTCCACCCAACATCGGTCTTGAAGACCCCCCAAGTCAACCGAAACAACCCAACCCGCTTCCGAAGACGCCAAAGGATGGACGTCCAAGCTTGACGCTAACCATCCTTCTCCATCTCACGGTCAAGCCATGTCATTTACTTCCAGGAAAAACCCTTCCAGAAGAAGGTTCCTCAAAACCAACAGCGCTCTTAATTAATATTTTTGGGGCTTTTGAGAGCGATTACGACCTTTCCGCAACCCCCTCCCTTCTTCTAAGCTGGTTAAAAAGCCCCACTTCTTGGTTGGAACGTCTTGGTTGGCACATTTCGGTCTTTCCGCAAGAGCAGAGCCCTTCACACCGAGCAGTTTTTGGAAGAGAAGGACTCGGCGGTAGGATGGTGGCCCCACAACCAGCACTACCTGAACGACGTGTCCTCCAGGATGAACTCGGTGGAGAGTGCCCGGAGGAAAATCCACTCCCGCGGCTCCGGGATATGTTTCTCTCGTTCGTGGAGGAGGCAACAAATTCTCTTCTTCAGGGTGGTCATGAAGTGGTTGGAAACTAATGACAAAAAGAGCGCCGGTCAAAACCCTCTGGGTTGTTGTCTCCGCAGAGGAGACTCCATCACAAAACGGCACAGGATTTTGGTTGCCAGGGTCTTCCACCCCCCTCCAAAAAAAAAACCCACAGCGCCTCAGCATTTTTGGGTTTTTTTTTACGCAGAAATCAACTTCCATCGGGCAAACGCCGTCTGCCTGAGATCATGGACCAAGGTCCGCACCAAAGCTTTGGGGTTTAGTATGTAAAATCCTGACCGTGAACACAAGGGACCGCGCGGGGAGGCGAAGGAGGCCCCGTGTCACCTCACCCTCTATCTCTTGGGTCCTTCCCTACTCCCCCGAGTTTTGAGGGACACCAGAGGCGGCTCTTAACCTCTCTCCGTTGTCTTCTTCTTTGCCATACGCGCGAGAAGGAGCCACTTCCAGTTCCCTCTCCTCACACCTACCACCACTCTCAGCGTGGAACAGCAAGTTGTGGAGGATCTTGATTCTCTCCGTTGGGCGCTGGCTGTTGTCCGTCTTGTCCTCCAGCTGGATCACGGCCTTCTGGATGCTCCCTTTGATCATGGCGTCCATGTTGAGGACCTGCGGCTGGAAAAGAACGGAGGTCAGTCGGTTGCTCGATGCGACTTTGCTCTCATTTGCCCCGGGGACACTTAGTCCTGGGACACGATCTTCTCCACAACCTTGGCAAAGTGGCCTTCAAGGTCCGTACCCATCTCCACCATCCCAACAAACCCTGCTGGAGTCAGTCCCCAGGGCGTGGAGGGCGGCTGATGTCCCTGGTGAGGGACAAAAGGTTCCTCCTGGTCTTGTGCCGGTCACTCCCAGGGGGATGTTGGGAGACCACCACCCTACTTCAACCTCACAGTGGAAGACCTGCAGCTATTCTGCCCCGTGACGAGGTACCAACCCAAGCAAGGACCTTGAAAAGCAGCTCCCCCAACGTCTGTTGAAACCCAACCTGATTCTTGCGCAATGAAAAACAACTAAAATGAGAAAAATAAGGAAAAAAAAAACCCAACGTACATTTTCCTCTGGGTGAAGACCCAACTCGGTGAGACTTCCCAGAGCAGCAGAACCCTCTGGAGAACCTGAAACCACAATCAACCACACAACTCGGCTGTCAAAAAAACCTCCCAAGAAGAGAGAACTTCCCATCCGCGGGAGGTGGCGGGAGCGTCGGGCCAACCACGAGGGAGGAGCGAAGCGGTGCTGAGGTGGAAACCACCCAACCGCTTGGTATGAGCTTCTCCATGACACGAGACCCTCCTCAGGCTTGGGGAGCAACTGGCCACCTCTAAGAAAGAACCGAGGATTCGAGGAGCCACCCAGAGTTGGGTTTGCAAGGGTGGACCAACCCATTTCTGCCCCAGTTGGCCCATCAGGAGGCAGAGGCTGCGTTGCTGGGAAGACCTCAGAAGCTCCTGGGACCAGCGGTTTGGGATCTGTCCGATCCAACCGCGTTCCCATCCACAGGTGGGACATGGGAGGAGGGGGCAGAAGGTTTCTGGAAGGGGACAACGGTGGGATTTTGGTGGGAGACTTCTTACCCGTCGAGGGACCCTGCAGGGAGCTGCTCGTGAAGATCTCGGCGATGGTCATTTTGGAGAGCCGGCCGAGGTTGGCCTTGAAGTTCTCTAGGGGCATCAGTTCGTCCAAGTGGACAGACTTCCACTCACCTGGAGAGGTAGGAAACGCCCGAGAAGAAGATGGATCAGTCCACCTCGCTCTCTTTTTGGTGCATTGACCCTTCAGAAACCCAACGAGCTCGGCTGCTGGGATTTACCGGCCAAGCAGAGCGGGAAGACAGCGAGAGACGGAAGATCCTTCGCTTCCCGTGTGAGGTCACCTTCCCCTCCCACCCGGAGAAGCGAGCGTAACCCCTACCGCTGTCAAAAGCCAGGTAGCTGCAGCCTCCCAGGACCCGCGGGACTTTCGTGATGAGCACGACGTGCACCAGGTGGGGGTTGGCCGACTTCCTTCGCTCGTCGGTGATGCTGTACCTGGAAGCGCCGCCAGAAGGTCAGAGCTGGTGACCGGACTCGTTTGGCCGACGTTTCCGAGCACGGGCAGCGTCTCCTCCCTCTACGCGCCCTCCCGGCAGCTCCGGTCCCGCCCCACCGAAGGCTGAAGGCATCTGAGGAGGCTTCGTGGGTGGAGGCCACCCCGAGAAGACCTTCCTTCTGGCCGGTGTTGGTGGGACCCGGTACCCGCCTGGGGGCAAAGGAGACAACGGAGCGCGGAGAGGAGCCCAGTTCAGGTCTCGGGGTGAGGGGGGAAACGGGTCAAAAGGCAGCGGAGGCTTCTGGGAAGTGCGTTGTGCCTGGAAGAAGGGAGAGAGGAAGAAGGAGGAAAGGAGGAAGGAGGAAAGGAGGAGGAAAGGAGGAAAGGAGGAGGAAAGGAGGGAGGTAGGAAAGAGGAAGGAAGAAGAAGGAGGGAGGAGGGAGGGAGGACGGAGGAAGGAGAAGGAAGGAGGAGGGAGGAGGAAGGAGGTAGGAAGGAAGAGGAAAGAGGAGGAAGGAGGGAGGAAGGAGGGAGGAAGGAGAAGGCAAGAGGGAGGAAGGAGGGAAGAAGGAGGAAGAAGGAGGAGGAAGGAGGAGGAAAGAAGAGGAATGAGGAGGAAGGAGGAGGAAGGAGGGAGGAAGAAGAAAGAAGGAGAAGGAAGGAGGAGGAAGGAGGAGGAAGGAGGGAGGAAGGAGGAAGGAGAAGGCAAGAGGGAGGAAGGAGGAGGAAGGAAGGAGGAAGAAGGAAGAAAGGAAGAAGGAAGAAGGGAGGAAGGGGAAGGAAGGAAGAGGAAGGAGGGAGGAAGAAGAAAGAAGGAGAAGGAAGGAGGAGGAAGGAGGAGGAAGGAAGGAGGAAGAAGGAAGAAAGGAGGGAGGAAGAAGGGAGGAAGGAGAAGGAAGGAGGAGGAAGGAGGAGGAAGGAAGGAGGAAGAAGGAAGAAAGGAGGGAGGAAGAAGGGAGGAAGGAGAAGGAAGGAGGAGGAAGGAGGAGGAAGGAAGGAGGAAGAAGGAAGAAAGGAGGGAGGAAGAAGGGAGGAAGGAGAAGGAAGGAGGAGGAAGGAGGAGGAAGGAGGAGGAAGGAGGAGGAAGGAGGAGGAAGGAGGAGGAAGGAGGGAGGAAGGAGAAGGCAAGAGGGAGGAAGGAGGAGGAAGGAGGGAGAAGGAGGGAGGAAGGAAGAAGAAAGGAGGAGGAAGGAGGGAGGAAGAAGGAAGAAAGGAGGGAGGAAGAAGGGAGGAAGGAGAAGGAAGGAGGAGGAAGGTGGAGGAAGGAGGGAGGACAGAGGAGGAAGGAGAGAGGAAGGCAGAGGAAGGAGGGAGGAAGGAGGGAGAAAAGAGGGAGGAAGGTGGCAAGAGGAGGAAGAAAGAGGACGAAGAAGGAGGGAGGAGGAGGCAGAAGGAGGAGGAAGACGGAGGGGGAAGGGCCGACACAGGAGAAGAAGGAAGGTCGCTGCGGGACAGAGGAGGAGGAGGGCGAGGAGGAAGAGGAGGGGGAAGCCGGGCCGAAGCTTACTTGGCGCAGGCCAGGAGCCTCTTGCTGCTCTGCGGCTCATCGAAGTGGAACTGGACGAGGAGCAGCCGCGGTCCCCACGCCTCCCTGAAGAAACTCCTGCAACGACACCCCCAAATTTTAACGCTTCCACCCCCTCCCCGAAGCCCGGAGCGCCGCCAGAAGCGAGGGCCACCTGCGAGGCCGAAGAGAAGGAAGGTGGGAGCCCACCTGAGGTCCTGGCGGAAAGCGTGTTCGGTGTCAAACTGGCTGAGGAAGAGGCAGTGGATGGTATCCGAGAGGTCGAGAGTCTTCCTCAGCGCTTCCACGTCCTTCTGGTTGAGCAGCCTGGAGTGGGTAGAAACCTGCGGGAGAAAGGGAAGTCGCGACTTGGTTGTCCCGCCACCTCAAACGGGTGACATCCACCAGGGCACCTCCGTCGGCCACTTGGTGTCCACCTACGGCCAACTGGAAGGCGCCCGGAGTAGCTCAGCCTGAGCTGATCCCATCGGCCTCTCCAAGAAGGACAGAGTCTGCCCTGGCTGCAGATGACCACGGAGGCAAAGAAAGTGGACATAACCCCACCCCCCCGCCATCATTCTCCTGGCCTAATCGAGATGTTGGGGCCACCATAGTTTCTCAGAATAGTTTGGGTTGGGAGGGACCTTAAAGGCCATCTCATTCCACCTCCCACCGGCCCAGGTTGCTCCAAGCCCCGTCCAACCTGGCCTTGGAGACCAAACAGCACCTTTGGGTGCTCTACAGCCACGCAGGACTACCTGCAGGCACAGCCCGGTGGTGCTCCCTGTCTTCATGGTCTCACGCAAGAGGCTGGCCAGGCTGTTGTGCTTCTGCTCCATGAAATAGAGGTCCTGGATCTGCTTGGCGTCCTGCAGAGCGGAGTACTGCAGGCGTAAGACGGAGTCAGGAGTGGCGCACTCCACCAGTTTGCTGGTGGCAGCGGAGAGGACGGCTTCTCCGTAGGGTTCGAAGCCCCCGCAGTGGAAGTGTTGGGAGATCTCCAGCGCGATGGCGGCGGAGGTGTCGTCGCTGAAGCCGATGAAGACGTCGTGCTCCTTGGGAGCGCCCTGGTTTGAGGTGCGGGTCCAGACTCCGTACAAATCGGGTTTCTCGATGGAGACGAAGCGCGTGGCCCATATCTCCAGGTCCCGCTTCAGGTCCTTCTGCTGCCAGTTGAGGATGCTGTTCATGTCCAGGCAATGCTTCTCCAGACGGCTCAGCAGAGGGGTGGGGAACTGCGTGTAGACCACATTCTTCTCCTCTATAACAATCAGCCGGAACTCCTCCTTCACGCGGCTCTTCACCCTATGAGTGCCGAGGCCCAGGTCAACGTAGGAATTACCCCCCAGGCTGACGAAGCATTGATTGAGGGCGTCGTAGAGGCTCTCGTAAAGGTTCTGTATGTTGAGGAGGACGACGGGTCTGCCTATCTCCATGCAGATTTTCACCCTGTTCACCGAGCGGCACACCTGGGAATAATCCTGGTCCCGTGGGAAACCGGAGCCGAATATGATGTCGCAGTCGCCGGCATTGATGAGCCGCGTCATCTGGATGATCTGAAAGGCGGCGTTGTTGGTCGTCAGCAACAGGAGGTAACGAGACATGAATCCCGCTTGCCGCGTGTCCATGTTCTCCTCCAGCAGGCGGATGCAGCTGGTTTCCGTGGCGCAGGTGAGAGAAACCTCGCTGGTGCACTTCCGGAAGATTTCCAGAGGGCGGATATCGTTGGAGCCTCCAAAGTTTCTCTGGATGGCTTTTACGAGGAGCTCCTCTTGAGTGACGTGCGTCATGCTCTGCGTGTAGGACACGATCATCTTGATTAAGCTGTAGAAGTCGCGAAGGCCAAAAAACTCCGTTTGCTGCGTTTCCAGCACGTTGCAGTAGAAGTTGGCCAGAATGGGGAACAAGTGCTCGATTCTGTCGAGGTGGGGTTGGCCGGTGCAGATGCCTTTGGCGGTCTTCACCAGCTCTTCCCTGCTTGGTTCCGTCCGAAAGACGAGGAGGCCCCTGTTCATTTTGGCAGGGTCCAAGGCCCAGTTGGAGATGCCCACGAAGCCAACTTTTTTGTAAGGCTCCGGCTCTTCGTCGTCAACGCATCCGTCTTCCAGCAGAGGATGCAACGTCTTCAGCGGCATATCGGGGGAGTCTTCCGCCAGCCCGATCTCATCCAGCAGGACCACGGATGCAAACTCCTCCAGGTTCTTGCCCTTCTGGAACTGAGCGCATTGGCGGAAAGTGGAGATGATGCCTTCTGGTTTGGAATGGGGGCTGCACTGGAAGGAGACCAGCTGGACCTCTTTGCATCTTTTGAACAAGGCTTCTCTGGACATCGTGCCTGCCATGGCGTCTACAGCGATGGTTTTGGATAGGGATTTGGAACTTCCCGGCTTCCCAACCAGAAAAAGGGGCACCCGGAGGTCCATGCAGACGACCATCATGAAGATGTTCTCCCGCAGCGCGTTGTTGCAGGCCGTCGCCTTCGGAATGGAGAGGTTATCAAGAAATACCTCTTGGCACAACTCAATCTCTTGCCGGAGGCGGGACGCGGGGACCGAGAAGCATTTTGCGACCTCCTCCAGGTACTCGTGACGCCTCTCCAGGGACACGTAATAGCAGACCCCCACCGAAAGGACCAAAGCCCTTTGCGCATCGTTTAAGGTCGCCTTCTCTTCCTCCTTGTTCTGCCTCTTCTCGTCCATGTGGGGGAAAAGGAGGTCCCGTAGGTTGTAAAACCAGAGGACTATTTTCATGCTGCGGTCTATGTCCCGCAGGCTGGCGACTCTGCATTCGTCCTTCCTCTCCCTCAGGAACTTCTGGGAGGCTGAGATGACGTTGGTGAAGACATCCAGGTTTCCCGCGGGGATGTGGGTCTCCACGGTGGACTTGACAATCTCCCGGATGTAGAGGCTTTGCGTCTTCTCGTTCAACTCCCCAAAATCCCACACCAGAGGTAATAAACTGGGGGGGAGGGGTTGCACCCGATACACCAACTGCCTCAACGGGATGTAACCCAACTTCTCCGGGGTGTCTTCGCTCCGGACTCGGTATCCCAAACCAGCTTTCTCCAGTTTCTCAATGGTGTCCTTGGTGTGCCTTTTGTAAGGGTTGCAAGCGGCCACCACTTTTAAGCTGCGGGTGGAAATGCGCTTCCCGGCGACGCTGCGGTCACACAGCACTTCTTTGATGGCGAAGATGGCCTCCGAGGTGTTGGCTTCGTCGAAGAAGAGCACGGTGTCCACGTCGTCCTTTTCTTCGTTGGCGCGCGCCAGCTCCATGGCCTGCCTTACCTTCTCCTGGATGGTTTTGGAGGTGGTGCCCCCGTGAACCCGCACCACCATCATGTTCTGAGCCACCCTGCCCGCGTTCTGCAGGTTGCACATGAACTGCACCAGTTTCGTCTTCCCGCAGCCCGTTTCGCCCATGATGATCACAGGGATGCCACACTGGAAGCGCAGGTGAATGGCCAACATCTTCATGGTGTTGTCCAGAGTCAACTGGTAGGAAGCATCTGGGTCCTCTTGGCAGCTCACCCCGAAGACTCTGCAGAGGGCCTCCAACTGGTCCTTTCTGGATAAGGTTTCGAATTTCTTATTGAAGGGAACGTTTTGGCGATCCAAGGTCCTGTACAACCTCGGGCTCATAACCGCCGGCTCCAAAACAGCCTGGGAATAAGCATCGATGGCATCCAAGTTCTGGTTGACGTGGAAACCCAAAAACTCCATGGAGTCACCATCAGCGTGGAAGACTATATACGGGTGCGCCTCTTGTTCCCACTTGCGTCTTAGCTGGTACTCTCGCAGAACGTAGTCCATCTCCTTGAACTCCTCGTTGGGCACGCTTTCGTCGGACATGTTGAGGGATGGCATGGCGAAGTCCTTGGACATGGCGATCATGAACTTGACGACGAACGTTTTGAAGCCGCTGAACTCCCCTCCCACCACCGAACTGCAGAAAACCGAGTTCTCACACCTCTTGAGCTGGAAGTTCAAGAAGTGGGTGAAGTTGCTGAGCTCGGTCCAGGAGGGGTTGCTTCTCTCACAGAACTCCATCAAACACTCCAGGCACTCCCTCTCTGTCCCTTCCACGCTTCCGGAGACAAAAGCGAAACGGTCAAGGTTTTCCTTGCGTTTGTATCTGCTGAGGTATTGGTAGGACCTTTGGAAAACAGCGGTGCGGAGTTTGTCCCGGTGAAACCATTGCTCCCTCAGTTCCGTGGGAGGGAGAGAACTGGGATTTCCCAACAAGTCGAGGACCCGCAGCGGCGAGACGCATTCCACGGTAGGGAAAAGATCCAGGAATTTTTCTTCCATTTCAACGGACATCTGAAAGCGAGAGGACACCAAATCACCAGGAGGAACGGTCCCCATCTTCCCTACATCCCTCAAAACCCCCTTTTTTTTCTTGATTTCCCCCCGGTCACAAACAGTTCATCAATCTGGGTGGGGGGGGAAAAACCCCAAAACAACGTAGAAATGCCAAGATTTCTCCAAGCCGTCACGCGGATTGAAATCCCTCCAACCGTTAAGTTCTTGCCCGGGGTCTCGTCTCGGGTTGGGTCATCCTGTTACCTTCTCCTACGTTTTCTGCCATCCCACTAAATCCCTTCGGAGCTGGAGGGACCTCAACTCAGCCAATATTTGAGGTCCTGTGAGGAACCACAGACGGATGATCCACCACTAGCATGAACCTGGGGTGCGTTTCCCACCTTCAGGAGCTCTACAGGGTGGCTCGGGTGCAAATCGGCTTTAAAAACCTGCGTGAGGTGCAAGTTCCGGCCAAATTGGGAGGAAAAAAACCCTCCCTTTTTCCTCCAAAACTCGGTGCGGGGGCCCAATATTTCCCTTTGAGCAGAGACCAGTTTGGCCCAGTTGCTTCTCCGTAGGGTGCGACGTCGCCCCATTGGAGAGCCGGAGCCTACATCGGGCGGCGCTGCGGTAGCGACCTCCGAGTTGAGCGGATTCCCTCACGCTCAACCTTAACGGTTCCTCCAACCTGAGGAGGAAACCACCACTATCCCTCCACCTCCCCCCCCAAAAAATATTACCTCTTGCTTCCTGGTACTCCTGAGGCCTTTCCCTTTCACCAGGTACTCAATCAAGTAAAGATGAGAAGGTTTGCACTTCCAGACCAAACCGTCGGGGCTCTGGATGTGCCGCAGGATGCACAGGTCAATCAGCAGCCGGTAGAGACCCTTCGATACCTGGAAGGGTCAAAAAAAAAAAAAAAACCCACCAATTAAAATGGAGAAGTCCATCACCACATGCTCGCCGCTCCATTTGAGTTTCCACCTCCTCCTCCTCCCCCTCCCCGTGTGTAGGGTCTTCTCCGTTTCACCACCTCTTCCAGTCGGCTTTAAGATCTCCGAGCACTCACCACCGGAGAGACATCGATGTGGAAGATGGTGGGTTGCATTTTGGTCCAGGATTCCTTGATGGAGAAGAGCTCCTCCACGAAGAACTGGAAATCGATGTCCGATTCCATCAGCCGAATGGTTTTGTGAAGCGGGAGAGCGCCGCCCAGCTGGGCGCGGACCTTCTCGATGGTGTTGTCCACAAAGAGAGACTTCCCTAAGGAGCGGAAGAGACGGGGGTCAATCATTTACCCTTCTACACTCATGCGCCACCCAAAAAGAAGGACATCTCTCCCCAAAAAAGCATGGTGGGCCGCCTGGCCTCCTCGGGTCGAGGCACACCACGGCGGAATCCCACAATTCCCAAAAACTCACCCATTCCCGCTCGCTCCGAAAAGACGAACTTGACGTTCTGCTGATAGGGCTCCTCAAAGGCTTGAGCCACGGGGTCCGTCCCACCCGGCACTTTGAGGTGGGTCTTCAGGTAGGTCTGGATGTCTTCCTTGGCGTAGCAAGGGAAAGTCACCTTGTAGGTATCAAAGGCCGTGATAACGTAGGAGTTGTGAGCTTTGGCGTTGCAGAAGATGATGAATCTGTAGTCGGGGATGCGGGAAGATTGCACCAGGCGGAAAAAGTGAGACTCGAGTTGTTTGGAAACTTTATAAACCAATTTATCGGCGCCCAACAAGCAGTAGATCTTCTGGTCTTGGGAACCTGGAGAAAGAGCTCTCCGGACGAGCAGCTCCACCTCCTCCTCCTCCGTGTTGGGTGTACACACCAGGACCTCATCATAGGATGGGAGAGGCGCCGTCTCAGTGTGTCGGTAGACAGATAACATGTTGGGTAACATTTCCTCTTCCTTACACATGACGAGAAGCGGTTTCCTGGCTTCGAAGCCAACGGGTAAACTTCTCTCGACGCGGGTGCTCTCCAGAGCGGCCAAATGCTTGAGCGTCTCCCCAAAAACATCTAGGCCTATGTATTTATCGGACACCAGGCCGGGGAATTTCTTGCAGTAGGCATCCCAGAGCAGATTGACCTTGTCGTAAATGGACGGCAAACTCTCGAAGGAGGCGGTCAACTCGTCCTGCGCCAGGGTGCTGAAGGAAACATGGTCGATGTCTCCCGTGTTGGTCTGAAACTTCCGCCTCTTCTGCAGGAAGGTTTCTCTCGCCTCCTCGTAGGATTTGCTGAGTTTTTCGACCAGCTCCTTGTCGTCGCCTTGCTCGAAGGCGAAGTCCATGAGCATCTGCTCGGTGATGGGGGCGTGGGGCAGGCAGCTCTGCAGGGCGGCCTTTGCCACCGCCTCATCGTAGCCCGACTCGGCCAAGCTCTTGATGAGCTGGGGGAAACGGATGATGTAGTCTTGCCAGGTGACCGATCCCTCGTCTTCTGCCTCCGTATTCACCGAATCCAGAGGGGTCATCAGCGCATCCCCCAGGGCTTTTGTGATGTCCTCGGCCGTGATGTCGTGCTTGACGGCGGAAAGCATGAGCAGCACCTGCGGTTCCACAATCCCCTTCTGGACTCTGGCCAGCTGGCTGCACAAATAGAAGAGCTGGTGGGCAGTGAAGAGGTTGAGGTGGTAGAAGTTGTCCCTTTGAATCTCCAGGTACTTCTTCCACTCTACCAGACAATGCTCCATGGCTTTCGAGAGGCTCTCCAGCTCCTCCAGGAGGGGTCTCATGCTCTGAACCAGGATCCCAGTGATTCCAAACTCCGTGTAGACCGTCACGCGTTGCTGAGGGTTGCAGTAGATGTCCGCCTTCCAGTTGATGAAGAGGATGTTGCCGACACTGAGAAGCTCCAGGTACAACTTTCCCACCGTCACGACTTTTTCCAGGATCTGTAACACGCCAAAGACACAAGAGGGAAACGGATGACACGTGGCAGCAGGTTCTCGACAGCTTCCAAACGCCGCACGGGTCACGCCTTCCTCCCGGGATCTACACAGCTCAGTGGTGGGATCTCCAGAACAAGCAAGACGTGGACGTGCTGGAGACAGTCCGGGGAAGACAATGAAGGGACCAGAGCATTTGGTTGCATGGCTGGTGCCCTACTCAAGGTTTGGGCTTCTATGGTCGTGGACCTACCTTTGAGAAGTTGGATCAACCTTTGAGAAGATGGATCTACCCTTGAGAAGGTGGATTTACCCTTGAGAAGGTGGATTTACCCTTGAGAATCCGGATTGACCTCTGAGAAGCCAGACTGACCTTTGAGAAGCTGGATCGACCTTTGAGAACCTGGATCAACCTTTGAGAAGTTGGATCAACCTTTGAGAAGGTGGATCTGCTTTAAGAAGGTGGATCTGCTGTCAGAAGGTGAATCTACCCTTGAGAAGCTGGATCAATCTTTGATAAGTTGGATCTACCTTTGAGAAGTCAGATCTACCCTTGAGAAGTAGGATCTGCCTTTGAGAAGTCAGATCTGCCTTTGAGAAGGAGGATCTACCCTTGAGAAGTTGGATCTACCCTTGAGAAGCCATATCGACCTTTGAGAAGTTGGATCTGCCTTTGAGAAGTTGGATATGCCTTTGAGAAGTTGGATATGCCTTTGAGAAGTTGGATCGCGCTTTGAGAACTTGGATCTGCCTTTGAGAAGTTGGATCTACCTTTGAGAAGGTGGATCTACTCTTAAGAAGATGGATCTGTGTTTGAGAAGGCAGCTCTACCCTTGAGAAGCCGGGTCGACCTTTGAGAAGTTAGATCTACCTTTGGGAAACTGCATCTACCTTCGAGGAACTGGATCGAACTTTGAGAAGTTGGATCTACCCTTGAGAAGGTGGATCTACCTTCAAGAAGGTGGATCTACCTCTGAGAAGTCGGATCAACCTTTGAGAAGTCGGATCTGCCTTTGAGAAGTTGGATCTACCTTGGAGAAACCAGATCGACCTTTGAGAAGGTGGATCTACACTTGAGAAGCCAGGATGACCTTTGAGAAGTTGGATCTGCTTTGAGAAGTTAGATCTACCTTCGGGAAACTGGATCTACCTTTGAGAAGCTGGTTCAACCTTTGAGAAGTTGGATCTACCTTTGAGAAGGTGGATCGACCCTTGAGAAGGTGAAAGAACCTTTGAGAAGTTGGATCTACCCTTGAGGAGCTGGATCTACACTTGAGAAGTTGGATCTACCTTCAAGAAGGTGGATCTATCTCTGAGAAGCCGGATCTGCCTTTGAGAAGTTGGATCTACCCTCCAGAAGGTGGATCTACCCTTGAGAAGCCGGATCGACCTTTGAGAAGTTGGATCTACCCTCCAGAAGGTGGATCTACCCTTGAGAAGCTGGGACAACCTTTGCGAAGTTGGATCTGCTTTGAGAAGTTAGATCTACTTTTGGGAAACCGGATTGACCTTTGAGAAGCTGGACCTACCCTTGAGAAGGTGGATCTACACTTCAGAAGTTGGATCTACCTTGGAAAAGCCAGATCTACCTTGGAGAAGCCAGATCTACCTTCAAGAAGTTGGATCAACCTTTGAGAAGCCGGATCTGCCTGTGAGAAGTTGGATCTACCCTCCAGAAGGTGGATCTACCCTTACGAAGTCGGATTGACTTTTGAGAAGTCGGATCTGCCTCTGAGAAGTTGGATCTACCTTGGAGAAGCCGAATCTACCTTCAAGAAGTTGGATCGACCTTTGAGAAGCCGGGTCCATTGGGAGATGAAGGGATTCACCAGACCGACTGGGACAACTGGGTCTTCACCAACAAGCCGGCCAGACCTCTGCGGAGAGCTTTGGCCCTGGCCCTTGGGAAGGGGATGGAGTTTTGAGGAAGAGGGAAGAGCCAGGAGCTGCCGGTGGATTAGGAACCAACGGGGAAACGCTCGGGAAAGGTCTGGAGGGAATTACGGCGCGTCCTTCTCAAAGGGTGGGGAAAGCTGAGGAGCGGCTGGAGCGGAGTTCTGCAAGGGCTGTGACGAAGAAGAAGAAGGGCTTCCACAGGTCCGTTGGTCAGAAAAGAAAGAAGATTAACGAAAACGGAACCCTCTGGTAAATCAGAGAGGAGAGTTGGTGGAAAACCCACACGGAAAAGACCGAGATAGTCAATTTTTGACCTATTTTTTGCGGTAACCTCTCTTCCCACCTCTCGCACGCCCCTGAGCCTCCCGGCAGAGACTGGGGGGAATGAAGTCCCTCCCACGGCAGGAGATGAGGTAGGAGACCACCTGAAGAACCTCAGGGGACTTAAGTCCATGGGACTCCACTCAGCTCCGCTGAGACCCCACCTGGAGCGCTGTCTCCGGCTCCGGGGTCCTCAGCACAAGAACACAAGCCAGCAGCGCGCCCAGGCGGCCAAGAAGGCCACCAGCATCTTGGCTTGTATCGAGAACGGTGTGGCCAGCAGGACTGGGGCAGCGATGGTCTCCCTGTGCTCGGCACTGGTGAGGCCCCACCTCGAGTGCTGTGTTCAGGTTTGGGCCCCTCACGAGAAGAAAGACATTGAGGGGGTGGAGAGTGTCCAGAGAAGGGCAATGGAGCTGGTGAGGGGTCTGGAGAACATCTTATGAGGAGCGGCTGAGGGAACTGGGGTCGTTGAGCCTGGAGAAAAGGAGGTTGAGGGACGACCTTCTCTACAACTACCTGAAAGGAGGGTGTAGAGGGGTGGGGAGGGTCTCCTCTCCCAAGGAACAAGCGATAGGACAAGAGGAAACGGCCTCAAGTTGCACCGGGGGGAGGTTTAGGATGGATATGAGGAGAAATGTCTTCACCCAAAGGGTTGTCAAGCGTTGGAAGAGGCTGCCCGGGGACGCAGTGGAGTCACCGTCCCTGGTGGGATTGAAAAGCCCTTTAGATGTGGTGCTGAGGGACGTGGTTTAGCGGTGGGTTTGGCAGTGTTGGGTTTACGGTTGGACTCGATGATCTGAAAGGTCTTTTCCCACCTAAACGGTTCCGTGATTCTGAGAAGGACGTGGACCTGGTGGAGCGGGGCCGGAGGAGGGACACGGGGATGATCGGAGGGTGGGGGACACCTCTGCTGTGAAGAAAGGCTGAGAACGTTGGGGGTTGTAGAGCAGGAGAGGCTCTGGGGAGACCTTCTTGCTTCTGACACAAAGAGGGCTTAGAAGAAAGAGGGTGAGAGATCTTTTATGGAGGTCTGGAGCCACAGAACGGTTTTAAAACCAAAAGAGGAGAGATTAGATGAGATCTGAGGAAGAAATTCTTCACTCTGAAGGTGGTGAGACACCATCCCGGGTTGCCCCGAGAAGCTGTGGCTGCCCTATCCCTGGAGGTGTTCAAGGCCAGGTTGGACGGGGCTTGGAGCAACCTGGGCTGGTGGGAGGTGTCCCTGCCCGGGGCAGAAGGGGTGGAACGAGATGGTCTTCAAAGGTCCTTTCCAAGCCAAACCCTTCTCCATAAGGAAGTACGAAAGGTCTTGGATGGGCCGTTGGGCACCACAAGTGAAGGACAAGGCTCGGGCAAGCAAGGACAAGGCTCGGGCAAGCAAGGACAAGGCTCGGGCAAGCAAGGACAAGCCTTGGGCAAGCAAGGACAAGGCTCGGGCAAGCAAGGACAAGCCTTGGGCAAGCAAGGACAAGGCTCAGGCAAGCAAGGACAAGACTTGGGCAAGCAAGGACAAGCCTTGGGCAAGCAAGGACAAGGCTCGGGCAAGCAAGGACAAGGCTCAGGCAAGCAAGGACAAGCCTTGGGCAAGCAAGGACAAGGCTCGGGCAAGCAAATCCCACCGCCGCAGCTCGGGAAGGGGCGGTCACTCTAAAGCAACACCTCCGCTCCTTCAAAAAACCCCAACTGTAGCTCATGGATGAGTCTCCCGGAAAGAATTCCGGCAAAATCCCGAGCCCGATGGCCACCGTTTCGCAGGCGGCGGCGCGGACTTACCTCCAGGAAACGGTTTGCCTCCTCTCTGCCCTGCTCGACCTTGGTGGCGATCAACATCAGCTTGTTCTGGAGCTCGGTGAGCTGAGACAAACTGTATTTCTTGACCGTCTGGTCGGCTGAAGCCGCGTTCTCCTTGTCCTCATCCCGCAGTCGCAACGAGATGCAGTCCTCCAGCGTAGCCTTGGGAAGGAGAGAAGATGACCGACATCACCACGCGGCCCTTTCAACGCAGCTTTGAGCTGAAACGCTGCGCGTGGGGACTCTACAGGGCCTTCGGAGGGAAGAGAAGTCCATTTTTCAGCTGAAAATGCTCGAGGTGGTGGTACCGGTTGCAGACCCAACCGGAGGGGTGGTGGCACGCTCATCGCAACCCGATTTCAAGATCTTCTCTCCCAATGGCATTAAAAAAAAAAATTACGCCTGGGCAAGAAACCACCTTGGAGAGCCTTTACCTTGAATTTCGGAGGTGCCGAGATGGCAAAAATCCCGTTTCTGTTGATGCTTCGGGCTTGAGAGATGGACGACCGTTCCACAGAGCCGTGGGAGTCGTGAACCGTCTGGATCCACTCTTTGTTGTTGCAGGAATCTTTCTGCGGAAGAAGAACCAAAGGGAAACCCCGTCACCAGCCGGAACGATGCCGAGC